AAGAATTATGTTTTTACAAAGTTTTGCACATGTGGGTCAAACTACAAGGCTGAATCGTGTATCACCCCCAGGTTCCTCAGTTTAGTTGGAAATTCAGTGGGAGGCAGTGACCTATTTGTGATCCACCCAATTAAAATGTTTTCACATTATACTTCTCCTCCATTGGAATGTTAGATAAGCGTTTATGTGTTAATGGCTTAGCTGTTTTTATTTAGTGATTTGCATGAAATCCCCTTGAACACACCCAATGAATGGGGCAGCTAAGAATTGGTAGTCAGACCTAACCTGCCTGCCTTTGAGAGGTTAGAAAATGGGGACACTTTGCTAATGAACTGCTGGTTATCTCCATGTACAAGTAATACTGTCTGGTTTAGGCTCTGCTTTTCATGTGGTTTGTCCAGTCTCAACAAATACAGTGTTTTGCAAAAGAAGAAGGGTGATTTGTTTGATTTGTTGAAGATTGGAGCAAGAGGGGGTTTAAATACGCTTAGTTTGGAGGGGAAAATAAAGTGAGTAATTTTTTGTCCTTTCGGGTAAGGCCAATTCCAATGTGTAAGAAATGGCCTAGAGAAACACATGCCAGTGTGAGTGACTGAAGTCATGAACTGATCAATGAAAAGAGACTGATTAATTGATTCAGACTCAAACAATGGATGTGCTCAAATAAACGGTTCTCTAGAAAACTGCTCAGTGCACATCATTAAATCTGAAATTGACTTATATACTTTAAATAGAAAATGATGCATTTTTCATGCGTCTTTAATTATTTCTTTTTTATTGGGCCATTTTTAATCTTTCTGTTTTTTCAGCATTTTGGTTTTTAATTACATGTGCAGCTGGAGGTTTTAAAGAGATCAGCACTGCCGTATCTGGCTCCGTTCCCTTGCGCACTGATATTAGGTTTGCTCTGCTTGATAAGAATAATTTGGCAGTGAAACTCTGGTTTGTCATGGTTTCAGCAGACGATGGCAGCACTACATCCCAGAGACAACACAGTGGTGCAAACCCTGCTAAATGTTTGGCCGAGGCGTTTGAAGGCTGAGCATATAAAAGAGGGGTGTGTAGCTCTCTGTCTGTTTCCCACCAGTTAACGTCCAGACTCGTCAGAAACTTCTCATCAGGCAGAATGACAGAACAGCCCCATTAATTCCTACTCTTCGTTTCATTTCTGCCCCAGTTATTTTATTCTGCAGCATTGGCAATGCAGTAGAATCTTGGGCTGATTCCACAATCGAGGAAGAGCTGTATCGTTTCTGCGGGTTTTCCAGACTTTCGGGATGGAATAAAAGTCTGTCAAGAGGCTCATTACTGATGCCCTCTGACTCTGCGAGAGACAAAAAGATCTTGGGATTCTCTGCATGTGATGTTTCAGTTCTCCAAAACCAACTTCTTTTCCCCAAGGAGCTGTGGACTCTTGGATCAAACATTTCAAACCACTTCTGATATAGGGGTTCAGAATGCATCACTTAGGGAATTTTTGCCTGTCCTTTTTTTCTCATTTTCTCTTGTGGGGTGAGGACATGCAGAGTTTCACCTTGCTCATTTCGTGCCACTGGGAAGATTATTCATCTTAGCAATGCGTGTAGTTGATGCTCCTGTGTTTTATTTGGGCTTTTAGCCCAGCGCTCTTACTATGTTGCAGGTGCCAGTAACGACACCCCCGAAAGACAATTGCTGGATGTATTATTCGGTCGTAGTTGTGACCCTTTCCATAGCAGTCCATGTTTAAATCATCAGCTGCTCCAGATTTGGAACAAAGTTGATGAAACCATTAGCTGAATGAATGAGGTCTAGAGTGATGAGAAAATTGGAAGGCCTCTAGTTCTGAGCATCAACGCTATTTTGATAGGTGGGTCAGACTGCTGAAGAATGAGGACACAGCTGGTTGACAGGCCACTTAAGAAAATGGATCTGGGCGCTTTTCTTTGTTGGAAAGAACAGAGGTCATTGCTGGGAGGAGTGGACCGCAGCCCTTTCTGCTGGGTCTCAGTGTTAGAAAAACCTACTGAAGCATAAGCTTTTCACAGCCAAAAATATAGAACAGAAGAAGAGCAGTGGAACAAGCTCATAGGCTGATGTGGCTTTTAAGTGAAGAACCCTAAGTATCGAAACTCCTGCGATGGTCTTTTGTGTCTCATTCCTTTCATGTTCATAGTTAAAGTGTAGTGCCTCAATATTTAATAACTTTCATGATTCATCTTTAAAGCGAATAGTTTAAACTGTTAAACTATGTAAGAGCCTTTGGCGTTGGAAATATGGAGAGTTGATGTTTATTTTCTAAGCCCCAGAAATTGCTGCAAACAAGAGTTCTATTTTTGACCAAAATAGTGACCAAGGTCCAGTAGGGCCCAAAATGCATTGTCTAGTAGACTGGAAATCACTTGGAAGTTGTTCTTCACTGTTACCCTGGGGAAAAAATGGTGTTTCTGCCATTCCTTTTCTCAAATATGTTAAAGGTTCCATGGGCTGATTTTTCTAAATTTCAGTCCGAGAGACAGCTGTTTAAAGGGGAATCGCAGTCCCAATGTCTCAGACCCAGTTTCTTGGGTTATTAAGTCTCGATAACAGTAAATTCATTGAAGTTATAGAATTTTTTTTTACATATTCCGAATTAAGCACAAAATCGTGAACTTTGTGAAAATACTGTATGGTCGCGATGTTTGTCGCAAACTGTTGCTCTCGCCAGGGGCAGGAGGGAGGGTTCACGCGAATTGTGCCGTGAAGCGGCCCTTCCTGCTCGCTAGTCACTGTAATGACTAATGTTCCGTGATGTACAAGCAAATAAGTACATGTCGTGCATTTTGCCACATAAATCTTCAGCGTGACCTTCGTGCA